TGCCAGAAGGTACCCCTACATGCACGTTGGGAATGTTTGAAGCAACATGGTTATGGATCAACACCTTCAAAAACATGTTTTTTAGAGATGAACATCCAAAAATCCCATCTAATTTGATGGTACAGGATTTGACCCATCACCACATCATTTGATGTTTTTTTTGGACAAGCAGCCAATATCGGGGATCGAGCTAAGCAATACACTAGGGATCTAATTAACCAACAATAGGTTTTGCCTTCACCATTGGAAGAAGCAGCAAATGTCATGACTGTTATGATTCACGGAGCAAACAGCGGGAGTTGACCAATCAAGCAAGAACTACTGTACACCACAAATAGATAGAACACAGTAGCACTGAGCCTGGCATATCTACGCACATCCGCAACTGGCTTTGTCTTGGTACCCCCCAAACAAATTGATGGTTTTTGTGAACTTCAATGACATTCATCATTTTCCCTATAGAAAAAACTGTATTTTTGGGGGGCTTCATCTGCCATCTCTGCCATCATCCCCATTTTCCGGCCGTGTTTTCCGGCCGGGGCTTTCCGGTGCCCCGAGGCTCACAGAGTTCAAAACCTGGATGGCGGAGCGCTTTCCAAGTCCTGAGGTTCGACAAGTGACACAGACCCCCATGTTTGGTTTGTTGAATTTGACACAGACACGGACTTTCCTATTTGAATTCTATTCTATAATATCTATAAATATCTATAAATATCTAATATCTATAAATATCATGGTTTACTACATCTAATATCTATAAATATAGTACATGGTTTATAACTAGTAGTAAACCATTTAGTAAATATCTAAATATCTAGTATTTTCATGGTTTACTACTTTGACTTCATATCTTCTGACATCGACTCCAGTGGCTTCACCAAAGAATTATGCCAGAAATTCGGAGTCAAGAAACCTGGATGGTGACCTGGCCGTTTGCCAGGTCACCATTGAGGTTATTTTTGAGGCTCAATGGAAGGTATTTAGCAGATTTAGCACTTATCATTTTGGTTACTGTATGTGTATTTGGTACCCCATTGAGTGGCGCCATGACAGACAAATCATGATAATCAATGTATGTGGGAAGTCGCGCTTGAGAGTCCGATGGACTCTATCATCTTGGGGAAGGGAAGCATTCGTACTTGGTGCAGCCGCGAAACATCATGGCAGTTTTCGTGAAGTAAAATTGTGTTGAAGAAAAGGCACAGATATGCACAGATGATTGATGATGATTGGAACTTGAAGGATAATCTGTGCAGAATCCTATATCTGGTTGGTGGTTTGGAACATGCATTTTATGACTTTCCCATCATATTGGGAATGTCATCATCCCAACTGACTTTCATATTTTTCAGAGGGGTTGGTAGGTATACCACCAACCAGTTTTTTTCTGCATTTTTCAAAACCACCAACCAGTATAATAGATATACCCTCTGGTTATTTAATGTAGCCAGTGGAAAATGGCCCATTTATAGATGGTTTACCATGGTTTACCGATTAAAAGTGGTGGCGAAAAACCACCAACCAGCTCACGTCATCCCAAGGCCGCACGATCCGAACTGCGCCCGGATGCCCGAGTTTTGGCAGAAATTTTGTGGCTTCATCCGTCCAGATGAAACCAACCACCGGACCTGGTACCAACCATGGGATCTCTGTAAATCGATGATATCCATGTCATGTCATGACCCATGACGGATCCATGGTGCTGGTATATATGCTAACATAAAGGGGGTATATTGATGGGATCCATGTTACCATATATACCAGCACCATGGATCCTATGGGTGATATGTCATGTGATTTCCTGTAAACATCTGCAAACCCCAGATTTCATGGCAAAATCCCGCTGGAAATGTCCCATCAATTCAGGCCTGACAGCTGCGGAAGGTGGCCGGAAGGACCTCTTTGTTCAGGTGCAGCTGATGATTCGTGGCTTCTGTCATTTTTGATGAGAAGTTTCATGATGTGTTTCATGATGTTGAGATGTTTGATGATGCGTTTTATGACATGTTTACATCTTGGGAACTTGGAGGTTTTTGTTTGGTTGTTTTGGTTTGGGTGCCAAAGCTTGTGAAAAACATTGGGGCCTTCTCCAAATCCAGATCAATGCGGATGGCGTCAAACAAAAACATCGTACTTCGATGTACGTAGCTTCTCGATCCACCAGGGGTTTATGAATCTGTGATTTATAGGTTGGTGAAGAACACATGACCACAACTCGCCCCTATGATTCCAACAACAGGCTTTGAGCAGAAAGAAATGAGCAGTTGATTCAAAGTGGAATGTCACAAACAAATGTATATATATAATATAAAATATAATAGTATAACAATCATAACACACCATGACATCTGACCGTTTCCGGCAGTCTTTTGTTGTTTTACTGCCGGAAAGCTGAATTTTCCACAGCATGTCACCATCCCACAGGCTTTGGCGCAGCGGGAGTATCCCTATGGGACCATTGGGGCGAAGGTCTTCTTCTTTTTCTGCGACGCTGATGAGGACGAGTTGGGCGCGAAGCGCCCAGGGAAGCTATGGAAAAAAAACAGGTTTTGAAAAACCATAGCCAGTATGTTTATACCTATAGATGGATAGATAATTATCTAGATTTATATTGATATATTATATACACAACAATAATATATGGCATAACACTATATAATTACATAGTCTATTGTGTTGTCATTCTTTGGGTGGGCAAAGTGAGCCACTTGAGCCTCCATTGGCCCACTTGCATGTGCATCTCAGGAATTGCAAGCTTCAAAATGATCCTGGTTCATAAGTTCTCATTGAACTGGCTTATACTTTTGAAAGTAGCCATTGTAGGCTTTTTAAGACATCTGGCTTGCTTCTTCCTTGTTTCGTTAAAACAAAGACCCAATGGTAGCTGGAAAACTTGTTCATCCCACTGTTCATAGCTAAATTGCCTCCTTGATGACTGGATTTATAGATGCCGCAACTGGGGAATATAACATTTTCAAAGTGGGATGTAGCGTATTACAACTGGTTTCCGGCACATCATGTGGCTTTAGACTTAGTAACTCGCCAGAATTGCCAGTTGGGAAACGATCAGAATGCTACCCACCGATTTAGACATATAGTAACAGAAGTTCCATCATGTTGCATCGGTACCTTACCACTTACCCTCTGGTAAATTAACAGTTGGACCCTGAAAATCACCAATTTTTAGTGGTTTCACTAATCTTCCAAGCCCTATCTACCAGGGTCTATGTTGATTTACTGGAGGGTATCGCTAACCATGATTGTTTCCCAACGATGCCATCCAAACGTGGCTGGAAATTCCACCAGTTCGATGAGTTTTCGCAGCGAGCTTGCCACATTTCATGACGGAGGGTACTATCGGTGGTGCCTCAGTTCGTTACACTCCAATTTCACTGGGTTTATGGTAGCTATATCTACAGTAGTTCCTATGCTTTCTAAATATTTCTAAACAAGCCAACTGAGCTAGCTACAATTCCATGAAATCGTATGAAATCCCACTAAATCATCAACCAGAACCATTGCTGCTTAAATCATACCCAACCAACGAACATCCACGTATGGAAACCAACGGCAGGACGATCTGATCAGCTGGCAAGATATCACCGAGGCACTTGAGGACAGCGAAGCTGCGAGGGGGGGCCACTATCTCTACTTTCCTGAGCAAAGACAAGTTGGTTCCTGAGTTCGGTTCCCCTTGATTGCGTGCATCTTTTTGAAGCTGACTGGAACTTTCACAGTGGCTTGGACTCAATTATTAATGTCTTTATATATGTCTTACTTTGTTAGAATAACTAATCTTACATTTGGTCATTTGGTTATGGTCCCCCCAGCTAAAAGGGTATTCATATTTTTTTTACCTATAGTTAAAATGCTGACGTTCCAGTTCGGAAACTGTTAAATTACCAGAGGGTCGCAGGGGGAAGAATAAATTATAGATGAAAGGAGGCTGCTAAAAATATGCGGTTGTCTCAAGAAATTGTCGATAAATAGAAGGAAAAATATATCAATACCATTCAATACCACATAATCAGTACCAAAAAAAAATCAATAGGAGGTAGCAAATGGGTGCGCATGTGTGTGTGTATGTGTGGATTTTTAAGAATTTGGCGTCCCTAAACTCATGCAGTTTTACCAGCGACAATTACAACACATGTTAGATTCTTTGGTGTAGCCCGTGCTTTATTCAAACCCAATATCAATGAATCAACGAGGTGACACGAGCAAATTCAAAAAGCGGGGATGTCTTACCCTCTGGTAATTTAACATGGCTATTGAAAATGGCAGTGTTTAATGGGAAAATCCACTACAAATGGCCATTTTCAATAGCTATGTTAAATTACCAGAGGGTAGATTCCATTGATTGGCTGATGGAAGCAAAGTCACCAATCCTGGTTTTGGATGTTTCTGACCAGGCAAGCTCCATGTGCAAAATTCGCGAAACGCACGGCTAACATCCATTTTTTAGGTCTGCTTGAAGAGAAACAACGGCTAAAGTGTTGGATAGGCTCAGGGATTGGGGATTTACCACACATTCTAGTATGCAAAAGACCAGGGACAGCAAAAGCAAGCGGGTCACTCTAAGTCCTGGCAAAGATGAGCCTCAAAGGCAAAGTTAGGACTGGTCTATAGCTGGGGGTTCCATCCCAACCACAGAGGTTGAAGCATCGATATCCAGCATTTCTGCATGACCATGATGGATATCCATGGAGGATATCTCAAGTCTGACGCAGAGTTGTGCTGAGATTGGCTCATCCCAAGAGTTTAGCACTGGCCTCATTCTGTTGCTCCTGGATTGCTTCACCTGAGAGGCTGTTCAACAGAGGGATTTATGGAACCCCCTTTTTTATAGCTCAAATTTATGGATGTGAATTGAAGCAGAATCTACACGTGTAGCTTTTGATTCATCTCCACTTCAGGCATCTTAAGGGAACCCCCCCGTGTACCACAAGCATTTCCACCAATCGCAGCGTTTCCTTCGCGGATCGACCGACCTTGCGCCCATGGCGAACGTGTCCGACGCGCGGGACATGGAAATCCCAATGGCGGCCGGCGAAACGGCTGCGGAACACCCAGAGGAAGGCAATGTGATGAAGGCGAAAAACCAAACACTCCGAGGATTGATCCATCTGGGTAAATTATAACGACCTCACTGTTCTCCCTCACTATAATCATAGTTAATAAGGGAAATCATCCCCAAATGGCCGCAAGATTCAGGTTTGTGAATTATTATAATTTACCCAGATCCATCTCATTCCATTTGGGCCCCAAAAAGATTGGGGATGCCCTTAACATGGGGTTCCATGTTGAATCTAGGCCGGTGTATCCATCCAAAAATCGACCTTTAAAGCCTAGCAGCCTAGATGATGGGCTCCAAGATTCTTGCTAGCCACATGAGATGACTCTTATGAAAAAGCATCAGTTGTGGCAAGAGAATTGGTCATTGGATGTTGTTGGTTCCAAGTAGCTCTTACCTTGAATCCGTTTTTGGGGAGATAGATTCCTATTGACTCATGTTGGGCTAGATACATGTAGACCAGGGATCTGCAAAACTGCCTGCTTTTCAGAATGATGTTTAACCACCAAAAATACTGGGCACGGTCAAAGCCTGCAAACAAATCGGCAGCTAGAGGGGTGGTTCAATCACTATTGCAACCTGCACGCAGCAACCAAACGCATCCAGACATCCAACGACTTGCTGCTTGGCATCCCTATTTCCAGGTCCAGGACATGTTTGCCATCGTTTGAACAAGATTTAGTACTCTAGGTTCACACTTAAAAGTAGTTAAAGATAGATAAAGTAGTTTATGACTCTGTTTAGACCTCTCAAAAGATCGTCATGCTGACCCTCCAAAAATATCCCCAGATATCCCGGTCGCTCGCCGACCAGGAACTCTTGGATCGTCCCTACATCAACAAACACACGGGCCTCGATTTCCTGGTGATGTGCTTCATGGGCTCCGTCTTGGGCCTGCTGTCCATCCCCTATTGCGCCTGGAATCGGATGGTATGGTCGGATGGTATGGTGCACCATGGTGCACCTGGTGGGGAGCTTCAGGATGATCTTAAGAAACATGTTGAAACCAGTTGAAACCCCGTTGAAACCAGGGTCTCTCTTCACAAAGCTTCGGCCTTCTCAGTAGATGTCCTTCTGTTCGGATCCAGTTTTTGTATGTTTTTGTCACGTGCTTTTCCGCAAGTCACCAAAAACGCTGCAGAACATGGCGTTTTGTGGGCAGTGCTTATTCAAGCTTCTCTTGATTGTAACTTTTCAGTCCACTAAAAACACTCATAAAACACAGATCCAGATCCCATTCAAAACCAAACTGGCACCTAGTTTGAAGGGTTCGAGGGGAATCTCTGCCGTGTTTTCGAAGCCCACCTCAGGTGCTGGGGTGGAGGACCTCCCCAAGTTCTGGCTCAGACACTTCGGGCCTGCAGGTGCGGTACCCCCAAATGGATGGTTTATGGTTTATAGTGGAAAATCCATCTATAAATGGATGATTTAGGGGCCACCCCCCCACATTTTGGGAAAAGTCCATGTACGCCCAAATTAGGTGAATCACACGACAAGGCCCAACCTTTGATTCCGTTCCCGGATCAAAAGGAGGCTGTAAGCTAGTCAAGTGAAACGCCACGAGAGCCCGGTTTCATCTCAAGGGATAGTTGCATGGTGTTGCTGTATTTTTGATGATTGGTGTGCATCCTCTCCAACTCCGACTTCAGACACATTCTGATCAGAAGGACATAGAAGGACTCATCTTTTGGTTTGGAATGATATATATATATATATAAATAAACATATTCCATCTTGAAGGCACCCTTACTTACCTTCGCTGGAAGAGTCCATAATGGCTACAGTACTCTTCATATAAAGCTCTGGGATAGGTTTTATCAGGTGGAAATGCCATGTGGCAAAAAACGTTTGCTGGGTTGCTTGCTGTTCCATTCAACTTCCAGGTTTTCTTTGTTGATCCCCCGTAGCTACAGCCAGCAGCATCCGGAGGTTTTGTGGAGGAGAATTTGGAGCTCAGCAGCCAGATCTTCTTTCGCCGAGGGGGCGCGAGTTGGATCCTGATCTGCTGGGGCTTTTGTACAGCCGTAACTTGGCGATAGTTATGACCACAGGGATGTCATGACATGTACCCTCTGGTAAACTAACATAGCTCTAGAAAAACACCATTTTTAATAGGTAAACCATCTATAAATGGGCCATTTTCCATAGCTATGTTAGTTTATTAGAGGTTACCCTGCATTTCCGATGTGTTGGACAAAGCTTCAATTGTTTGGCCCACAAATGGAGATTTGTATCCGGCCCCACCTTTGTGAAAGAGTGACGTCACATTCCCCGAGAAGTGGACATTGGCGAGTTTGTCATATTTGGTGTGACGACCCATATTGTGCTATGTTTTTTTTTGTTGTGGTTGAATCACACTTATATACATGCAGGTTATCCTGTAATATGTAATTATCCGTTTTTCGGGTTGATTTGAGGGAAGACCCAGAGAAAAACCCGAGTTGATGTTTCTCCAAAATCACTTCTTGGGAGGTGTCACTTCTGGTTTGGTGCTTCGATCCCTGGGTTTCTTAAAATGGGGTTACCCCAATAGCTGGTTGGTTTATATTGGAAAAACTTATTCAACTAGATGATTTGGAGGTCCCCCCCATTTTTCGGAAAGCTCCAATTGAGTTTGTTTGACAATCTTTACGATCTGGTCTAGCGGCTAGCTAAAAGGTACACCCATCATAAATACTGTGGATGGGCCAGCGAAATCCTGTACCAGTTGAAAACAATGGTAACCATCCCATTATTTTAATAAGGTTTCAACATGTTTCAACCATCCAAGGGCAGGATTTCGCAACCATTCACAGTATCATAAAGTCCTACTGAGACTAGCCTGGTGCACCAAGTCACCTCTCTTTTGGGGCACCCTAAACCCTGCAGTTGAGCCCCGTTGACGAAATGATTTCAGGACCATCACCTCTCAGGTATTCCCCCAACAGACCTCTAATAAGGATCCTCTTGAACGATTCGAAAAAACCACCATATTTTTTGGTTATTTAGGGATTCCCATTTGAATATGTTTATTCCCATGAATACTATATATATATATATTATATCATAGTTATATACCACCAATAATATTTACATATAGTTATATACCCAATGAATCACCATTTTATTCCCATGCGATGGTTAAACATGGTTGGAGCCATGTAGCCACCCAGGTAGGCGTTTTGAAAGTCCTTGTCAAGCTGGACAAGTCTCTCAGTCAGTAATTGCGGGCACAAGTTGGCCCTGGTGCTTCCAAAATCGATAAACATGGGTTGTACCCGAAAAGTACAATGTTCATAGGATAAATTCTGATCACTGGATTTCGGGGTATCCTATTTTCAGACAATCCAGGATTTGGTTTCATAGGAATCATAACTATATAATCTTTATCAGCAGAACCCATTTGCAATGGTAATTATATATAATATGTCAGGATATATTTCAGGTATGTCTAAAAGTGTTCGACTGGGAAATTCTAGTATTGATTCAATACCCATAGGATCCATGGTGCTGGTATATCTACTAACATTGGGGGTATATTGATGGGATCCATGTTACCATATATATGCCATACATGGATCCTATGGGATATACACGGTTTCTATCTCCCCCATAGGACTACACATGGCATGGGTTCTGTTTTGCCCATCGAGGGATGATCCTTCACTAGTTCATTCGTGGCAGCACAAGATGCCTGAAACAACAAAAGGATATTTTCACAGTGGTGGTACTGGTATAGTATTGCTCGGGATTTGATGGGATTTGTAATTTGATTTTTGTATTTCTGAAGTACCTTTATTCTTGGAGGATCATTTTGACCATAACCAGGAGCTTTTAGGGTGCGGCCACTCAGTTGATCCAACACGGTCACCGCAGTCTTTTTGGTTTCAATTTGAGCAGTGTCCTGTCGGGCACTTGCGGACAGGGATTTGGTGTAATATCATCAAAAAGCACCTATCAACTGAGGATTTTTCGCCTGTAGATTCACCCGAGGCTTTGTTAAAGTTGATAGACATTCAGCAATTCAGCATTTATGGCATCTGAAACTGAATTTCTTGGGAGATCAAACAATTGAGGATGACTTGGGGTTTCCTAAGTCATAGGGCTACCCCAGTCATCATCCATTTAGTTCGATGGATTTTCCCTGAAATAAACCATCCAGCGAGCTTGGGGTACCCCCCCATTTCCCATAGGATCCATGTATGGTATATATATATATGCTAACGTTGGGGGTATATTGATGGGATCCATGTTACCATATATATATATACCATACATGGATCCTATGGGTTATGCCTTGTAAATTTTCCAGCCTCGTTCCCCAGGTTTCCGTCCTTCATCGATGAGTTGAAACATCAACACGTGGACCCACTGGTGAATCTCAAGGCAGTTGGTGACGTAACGGACGCGCAAAGTGAGGCTGCCTCTTTACGAAAATTGGAGATGTACCCAGCAAAATCTGGATTCAACATATCCTTCCAACGGGCAAGTGTCAACTTATTGGATACTCGTACTTTTTTTTTTGGATACCCAAAAACATGGGACCGGTTGAGTACCTCAAAACCCCTTCCCCCCATTGTTTAAAGGCTGGGGCGACACCCATTCTTCAATTGAATCATCAAGATATGTCAAGATACATAGTGTTCCCTCTTGATTAGCTTGGGTATCTGATGAGTGAATCACAATGGCCACCTCAGATTTTTCCAGGGCTGAGGTTTGATGCAGGAACCAAAGGCCCGCAGACACGGCCAGGTGGTGATCTGTTGCATCGCGTCTCTGAGTGCGGGTGCTGTGATGGGTTTGGAGGCACTGGTGGGAGAGATCGAAGATTGGGGGGAATGATGGCAGAGGAATATGTCCAAAGGATGAACATTCAAGAAGGTTTTAAGCGGCAAAATAAGGGTTTAACCAGCAAAACAATGGTTTCGCCAGCAAATTAAAGGTTTTGCCACCGTCACCTTTGGATTGTTAATCAACTGGCAAGCATGAGAGTTTAGCCACCAACGTATTGGGAGTTATACTGTAAGCATTGAAGATAGTGGCTTGGTTGGCCCTTGTGATACAGCCAATAATGAACCCTTCATTTGGATATATGATATATGGTTTTACGCTTCTCAGAGCGCCCCAAAGGGTGACATGTGGCAACTGGGGTCTTGTTTTACACAACAATTGGAGTTCAGCGGAAGAACATGGATTTGTCCAGCAATGATCGGCACATGTCTGGGGTTCACTACTGGTGTCACTTCATTAGCTGCCTATTTTGGAGGGGGCATATGTTACAGCTGAGAAAGTGAACACACATTCAGAACTGGTTGGTGGTTTGGAACATCATATTTTTCAAGATGGTTAGAACATGTTAAAACCACCACCAACAACCAACAACCACCACCAACCATGGATTTTTCACTGGGGATACCGAAAAAACTCATTGCCCCCCCAAGTGCCTCGGATCCGTCAGTCACCTATCAGGTGCCATGTTGAGCCCAACGTAGGTATGGATAAGTTATGATTCATGTCCTCCCATCAATGGTGAGTTAACCTCATTAAAACCACCTTAAATGATCTTTGAAAAACAACTATTGTTGATGCTTAAGCCATGATTTACCTGATCAATAATATCAATTAACTATCAATCAAGATCCACTATCATTATCTATCATATATATATATATTTATAATCTATCCATTATCACTATATCCATTAACTATCAATTATCTATCAATATCAATATATATATATATATATACACAAACATCGGATATTTATCCCTATTAATCATATAGTAGTGATAAGTATTCGTTCCATATACGTATATCTGGTAAATTGTAGTGACCTCACTGTGACCTCACTGTGACCTCACTGTGACCTCACTGGAATCATGGTTAGTAAGGGGAATTATCCCCAAATAGCCAAACATATCAGGTTAGTGAATTACTATAATTTACCAATATATATATATATATGTATATAGAATAGTAATGAATAGCAAATATTAACTATTCCATAATATTGATAGTTAAATATTAACTGTCCCAACATTATTCACTATTCACTATCCCACAATATATATATAGGTATATATATATATATCATCAGATTATATACCCTATATCAATATCAGATCAGAAATACCCTTTATATGTAGATGAAATTATCCCCCCATCTGATGTATATTATCTAATGCGAAAATCATCTACATCAGAATCACCAGATATATCATGCCCTCTGGTAAACTGCTCCATAACCATGGAACATCACCATGCTATGGGTAAATCAACGAACTTTCTATGGCCATGGCTTCAATAGCAAACTGTTAGTTAACCAGAGGATATCCCCAATTTATTTGATCCTATATCCCATAATAGGCTTATAATTTATACATCTCCCCATCATAATTTAGATATATCATCATTGGGAAAATAATCTACATCACCAGATATATCATCCCAATATATATGGTATATCTATGAAATAAACTATGATATTTTCTATGGTATATCTATGATATATCTATGAAATATCATCATAATTTAGATATATCACCAGATATATCATAGTAATTCATAGTATGTGTCCCTTGTTCAATGGCAATCCCAGGCAGGTCTTGGCTCCGTGGGTGCTGCGCTGGGCTTCCTCTTGTGGAAGCTCGCCGAGAAGCGCCTTGGCAGCGGAGAAACCATGGGGATTTCATAGGGGAAGTTCGAGGCAAAATTGGGAGAACCATGGAGATTTCTAGGCAAAGTTGAGGGAAAACTCTGTTTGTTGTTTTTTGCCGATAAAATTGAGGTTGAGAAGAGTGGAATTCTGAAGATGTCAGAAAAGAACTTATTTTTTTTTGACGCTTGTTTCGGAGAATCATAGGGGATTCATAGGGGAACTGTAGGGATTTCATCGACACGTTGATGGCGATTGTCGTCAACAAATTGAAGGATATTGCAAGTAAAGAAAGGGATTACCCCCTGGTAAACTAACATAGCTATTGAAAATGGCAATTTATAGTGAGTTTTCCTACAAAAAATGGTGATTTCCATAGCTATGTTAGTTTACCAGAGGGTAGAGTTTAGAGAGGCCAAAGTGAGATTTTGAGAAGCAAAGACGGGGACTTAATTGGATTTTATTCATCAGCAATTGGACTCTTATCCACAAAATCGTGGTATTACTACGACTGTGTTTCGATCAACGAAAGGGGAGTACTTCCTGTAAAATCACCTCACCATAAAACACACATGTAATGTAGCACTCACTACAGCGTTGCGGCTCAGGACAAAAAGTGCTTGTGCTGTCTAGCTTAGCGGTTGTTGGTTCCACCTTTAGGTTTATCAGTCCATCTGGGATAATAGTAACATCCCTTGCTGAAACCTGAAAATACAGGTTATCAGCCGTAGTCTCTTAAAGCCATGGAAAGGACAACTGGAGACACCTCAGGTGGAGGCGCCCTTGTCCCCTCGACTGGAGCAACGGTTGCAACAACTGGATCACAACAAAGCTTGCCGGCTGGGACAAACCCCACGCCCATGTCAGTGGATGAAGGTTTCTTCACACAGCCCGTGCAAGCATATTTCCAGTTTGTGCAAAACAATCTTACCTACATCAACGAAGGTAACATTGATGCTTTCAGGCAAGAGGCGGAAGAGAGGCACACACATCTCATGGAGCAAAAGGTCCAGCAACTGTATCAAGAGTTTGAGGGAGTTTGCCTTAGCGAAATTGCCCATCAACGTGCAGAAGCTGATCGCAGACATGAACACCTAGTGTCAGAGTATTCAGTGTCCCAAACGGCAGCTGAGCATGAGGTAGCAAAACTGAGACAGGAACTTAGCGATGCAAACGCAAAGCTAAAGAACGCTGCAAATGCAGTTGCACTGGAAGCTGAACAAAGAGCCAACCAAAAGGTAGCACACGTTACAGCCCAGTATGAACAAAGGTTTTCTGAACTCAGAGGTAGCCTCGAGGCAGACTGTAAACGAATCGTGGACGAAACAGTGGAGTATGCAAAGAACGGCATGGAAGGTTTCAAGAAGGAGGAACAAGCTGTAATCCAGGAGATTAGAGAGGAATGCAGTAGGCAGGAAAACCAAGCTGCTGAACTCAATTTCCAATTGCAGGGACAAGTGAGGATTTGATGGAGAAGCTCAACAAGTACAGCGCCCCGGAAATCAGTGTCGACAGAGCCGTCGAAGTTGATGATGCACAAGGCGGGAACAATGTCGATTTGTACATGACCCCAAAATCAGCGGTCGGTACCAAGGCTGGAGCAGAACCCATGCCAAACACTGGTATGAGTAGCTTAGCCATGGACGCTAAAGAAAGATTGAGCAACTTGTTCTCAACTACCCCTGCCGGATCAGCAGCCCCTCCAAAACTTCCACCATTGCCAGTTCAAAGACAAAATGATGATGATGCAAACCAAGAGCATAGTGTGCCCAGTCCTACAGTCATAGCAAGCGACCCTGGCAAGAAAGCAGCTGAAGCAGGCTTAGGTCTTTCAGGTCAACAATTGCTAGATCTCATCACTAGACTGACTTCAAAGGATTCAGATGGTGAAAAGCCCCGAACAAAAGAGGCAGAGACTATCAAACTGAACGACATGCCTGCCCCAGAAGCTTATCGTCATTGGCGTAATCATGTCAGGGATGAAGTGAAATCGTGCTCCGACAAACCCGATGAGGCTTGGCTTTGGCTCAATGAAGTCTTTGACAACAAAACCCCTAGGGAAAAGTTGGAGGAAAAGCTGCAGGATCCTGGGAAGTTTATCACACTTGACACCAAATTGTCGGCAGCGTTAACTCGCTCAGCCAAAGGTGATTTAGCGACAAAGATCCATAACTTCAAAGATGAGAAGTCAAAGAAAGGGATCCAAGTCAGAGGTAGGAGAGTCCTTTTGATGTTTGAAGATTACTTCAGGACGTCTGAGGAAGCTGGCAGTCTCTACCGCGTCGAGGACCTACTTGGAGTCGTTCGCACTGGAGAATCTGTGGAGGACCTTAGAAGGTTTCTTAACCGATGGGACGCCACAATTGCCGGCATGGAAACCCCACCAGATGATTTGGTTCTCAGAGACATCTTACTCAGACAAATCCGAAAATGCCAATTGATGAAGTACGACATTGAAGCATTCGACAGAGCTCCTGAAAAGTCGGAACAAAAGTCCTATGCATTCTTGTTGAGAAACATTCGTGATCTTTTGGATAGAGAAAGACTCCGTTCAAACAGAAACAGAATCGTTGAAAAGAACAAGCAGACCGAAAAGCTTCAGCCCGCTGCACCCGCTCAGGGGGGCAAAGATCGCGGCAGAGGAAAGGGCGACCGAGGTCGAACCCGTGGCCGTAGCCAGAGCAGTAAAGGGGATAAGATATGCTACAAATTCAGGGATGGCAAATGCGAAAAGGGTAAAGACTGTCCCTACAAGCATGTCAAAGATTCCTCAAGATCTGGTACCCCCAAAAGAAAGGGTAAGGGCAAAGGTGGTAGCAGAAGTGGTTCTCCCAACAGAAAGTCGAAGGAAGAGATGGCCAAGATCCCATGCACTTACTTTCAACAGGGCAAATGTCGTCGTGGTGACAAATGTTTTTACAAACATGAAGTTGCAGCTGCACCCACAAAGGATCCAAAACGTACCAACAGCCCTGCACCAAAGAAGAAGGCCAGTGCAAAAGCTGCGCCATGCATTACTCAAAGGTATGCATGCATAGCAAAGGGAAAGGGGTTGCCAAAAGCCACAAAGGCCATGAAAGAACAATGCCATAGAGCTGTTGTGTTTTCATCAAAAGTGGAATACATCAAAGTCCCAGCTACAGCAAACGGTTCGACACGAGCGGATGAGGTGGCCGACGTAAAAGTCGATGCCCTACATCAGCCGTTTTCACCATACATTCTTGAGGAAACTCCTGCTGTTCTTTCGGTTGTGGTCAGGTGTATGGAACAGGGTTACAGTTTTGTGTGGCCAGCTGATGGTAGGCCTTACTTCATTCGTCCGGACATGGGAGTCATTGAGCTTAACGTAGACGGCCGTGTGCCGGTCATCGATAGCTCTTGTCGTGTTTTGAACAGTGGACAGTTCAAGAAAGATTGTGATCTGTTACGTCTTTTTGCAATGGTTGCTGCAAAAGCAGAAGGTGCCGATGAAGAAGGTGTGGATGAGGGAGTAGCTCATGATAGTGAAACCGAATACATCAGGTCTAGAAAGGCATCTGACTTTGAGCAAGAGGCATGCAGTAAGTCTCACCAGTTTTGCCATTACCCCAAGAACCCATTTTGCAAGATCTGTCAGAAGGCGCGCATGATGGCGCCACCCGCAAAGAAGAAAGGGGGACAGAAAAGGTTAGAAACCAAAAGTTTTGGGGATCACATTGTCGCTGACCATACTGTAATCAAATCCAATGTGGAAGAAGGCGTCAAAGGTGAAACAGTGGCATTGGTGATGAAGGACATTCACACTCAGTTCAGACACGTCTATCCAAGCCAGACAAAATCGAGCGAATCATGTGTTAATGCTTTCAACCACTTCTTATCTCACAAGGATGAAGTTGGGGCAGTTTACACTGACAATTCACGAGAGCTTATTGCTACAATTTCAGAATTGGGGTACAGACATCAAACATCAACAGAGTACGTGGACAGTTCAAAGTCGTTTGTGGAGAGGGAGATCAGACACATGCTTGAAGGCACACGCACAAACCTCGTGCAGTCAGGTCTTCCATTGCAGTACTGGCCAATGGCTATGCAGCATTTCTCCATGGCAGTGAATGCCACGCCACAGCTCAACGGTGATGATGCCCCATGGAAACTCAGATTCGAAGAAGATTTTCCAGGTCAGTTGATTCCTTTCGGTGCAAAGATACTGTTTTGGAATAATCCAAAAAGGGTTGACAACACATCTGGAAAGACATCACCAACAGCAAATGATGGAATCTTTTTGGGATACCACATTCAACCTGGTTTTGCATGGAAAGGTGAGTATCTTGTTGCCAAGTTAGAAGCATTGGATTACCATGCAGAAACGGGCAGCATCACAGTGCAGCGAGCACGACGTGTTGAGCTCATCGCGGGAGGTTTTGTCTTCCCACTCCGTGCATTGAAAGAGGCCAAAGAGCCTAAGCCGGACCGCCTAGTCGACAATGTCATTGCTGATCCTCGTTCGATTCCGTTTCAATCCGAATTGCAAACAGAGGAACATGCAGAAGAATGTGAAGTAGCAATTGACAAGTCAACGGAGGCAGTGCTTGACGCACTTGCCAGTGATGAAAGGCCGGCTGAAGAACCAGTTTTTCCTGATATCAAGTACACTCCAACTGGTACTCCAATCCCGGATGGTTATCATTGGGACGGCACACGCCTTGTGAAAACGTACAAAGGGTCAAAACGCCCTGAGTCGATCCCATCGGATTTTTGGAAAATGCTTAGTCCGAAGGATAGGCAAAAGCTTGTTGAGGAGGAGGCTGAAAAGATGGCTGTAGGCAGCGGTGGTGCTGCATCAAGTTCAGCATCAAAGGGTCCGAAGAAGAAGAAAGGTGCAGTCGCTACTGCAAGAAAGCTTCGGGTAAACCCTAGCCCCTCAGGTGAGCCTAGTGTGTCAACATGGGAGGTCATTCCAAAGGATAGACCGAAATTTTGTGTCCCTGCAATGCCGAAAGCGGTTCCAGCAAAACCTGAACTG